ACAGGTCAACTAGCAATACAGATACACAGGTCAACTAGCAATACAGGTACACAGGTCAACTAGCAATACAGGTACACAGGTCAACTAGCAATACAGGTACACAGGTCAACTAGCAATACAGGTACACAGGTCAACTAGCAATACAGGTACACAGGGTACACAGGTCAACTAGCAATACAGATACACAGGTCAACTAGCAATACAGGTACACAGGTCAACTAGCAATACAGGTACACAGGTCAACTAGCAATACAGGTACACAGATAGAGGTTGAAAATTGAATAGATTGGAGGGTTTTAGGATGATGATTTATCAACTGTATTCAGGAGGCGACGGGGAGCCACTCTGAGGAGGAGGAGGAGGAGGAGGAGGAGGAGGAGGAGAGGGGGAAATGGAGGAGGTGTGAAGAAGAGTGAAGAGGAAAAGGGGGACAGAGGAGGAATACAAGAATAATAACAAAGAAAGAGAAGAAAATGAAGAAGAAATAAGTCGAAAAAAGATGAAAGATGAATTATTCAACATCTAACCCCCCACATCAACCTCCTTCCTTCCTTCCTTCCTTCCTTACCCTCTCCCTCCTCTCCATTTCTCACACCCTTCTACTTCCATCATCCTCTTCCTCTGTCTTTCTCTTCCCCTTTTCTACATCCCTTCCTTCCCCATCCTCTCCAACTCCCTCCTTCCCTCTTTTCTCCACTCCACACCCCTCTCCCTTCCCTCTCAGCTACACACCTAAAGTCGACAAGTTGGATTACCTGACTGAATCATAGCTAACAATTTTACCCAGACAGCATCCAACCCCTACTGAGCCTATGATTACCTGTGTGTGTGTGTGTGTGTGTGAGGATGAATCACGGGTGGCAGTGTTGACAGGATGGTGACGTCAACACAAGACACACACACACACGCACACGCACACACACACACACACACACACACTACGACCATCTCAACTGGGTCATCCTTCATCCTGTGTTGTGACGGCTGGCTGCATCCCCAACCGACCACCCACCAAGTGCCACCCAACCGACCACCCAACCAGTGCCACCCATCATCTTGTGCCACCCACCTCCTACGTCAAAACACAATGCCTTCAGTGGCTATTCACATTGGTTTAGTGTCGTCATCACTACTACTACTACTACTACTACTACTACTACTACTACTACTTTTTTCTTTTTTTATATTGACCTCCAACTCCCCTCAATAGCCATACCTTCGCCACCATTATATTACTACTACTACTACTACTACTACTACTACTACTACTACTACAATTACTACTCCTAGCTACCGCAGACTATAACTATCACCACCACCATCCACCCACCGCCCTCAACCTCCACAGCCCACCACCCACCCACCGCCCACTACCACCACCCACTGGCACTACCTGGAGCTTCTCGATCGATTTCCGTGTGCGTCATCTGGTCTGAAGCTGCCGTGCTGTAGTGATGTATGTGGTAAGTGACGCCACTGTCCTGCCACTGTCCACAACTACTGCCACTATCCAATACCACCTGGCAGTGCTCACACCACTTGGCACTGTCCACATCACTTGGCACTCTTCATACCTACAGCCTTTGTCCATTTATCGAGTAAAAAGGCAATCGTGTCACTGTCCAAACGTTCGGGGTACTTCCAAGGCACTGTCCAACTACTGTCCAAGAGTCGAAAGTCAGTGTCCTATACTAAGAAAAACTCCATCACTCAAACAAACAAAAATGGCGAAAAAAAACTAAAATAAAGAAAATTTACATAAAAAATAAAATAAAATAAATCGAAGGTTAATAAAATAAATATATAAAACAAAACTAAACATAAATCAACAAAAAACAAATATAAAACGAAAACAATAGACACCACACAAATAAATATAAACAAAACAGAACAACAAAGGAATCCTCAAAACAAAAGCGAAACGAAACACATATAAACAATAAACGAAAGAACAAAACAACAAAATCCGAAACAAAACAAAAGACAAACGAAATTAACATCCATAAAACACACACACACTCACACACACACACACACACACACACACACACACTAAAGCCAACATAACTCTACAATAAATACCATAGGTTATTCTTGTTAAACTTAGAGTTAAATAAAGTTAATTACCGCAGATAAACTGGGACTTTTTGATCACCCTGTAGAAAGCACTTTACGAAATAATAATAACAATAATAATAATAATAATAATAATACAAATAATAATAATAATAATAATAATAATAATATAATAATAATAATAATAATAATAATAATAATACAAATAATAATAATAATAATAACAATACAAATAATAATAATACTAATACTCATTAATAATACATAATAATAATAATAACAATAATAATAATAATAATAATAATACAAATAATAATAATAATAATAATAATAATAATATAATAATAATAATGAAAAGACGAACACGAACAAGAAGACCACCCCTATAACCCATTTCAAAGAAGTCCCGTTTCCTGTGGTAGACATTAGGGGGTGACTGGTTTAATTTGAGTCACCTGTGCCCTCATTTGTGTAACGAGCTGTTGGCGTGTTGTGTCTCTCTGTCTCTCGAGATAAGAAAATGGAATCTTGATGTTTGCGGTGTTTAGGATATCAGTGGAGGAGGGGGAGAGGGGGAAAAGGGAAGGGGGAAGGGGAGAAGGGGAAGAGGGGAAGGGGGGAAGGGGAAGAAGGGAAGGGGAGAAGGGAAGAGGGCAAGGGGAGAAGGGAAGGAGAAGGAAGAAGGGGAAGAGGGGAGAGGGGAAAAGGGAAGGGGGAAGGGGAGAAGGGGAAGAGGGGAAGGGGGGAAGGGGAAGAAGGGAAGGGGAGATAAGGAGGAAGAAATGTAGGAGGGAGATGAAGAGGAGGATGATCAGGGGGAAGATGGGGAAGAGGAGGAGGAGAAGAAGAATAACGATAAAGAGAAACAAACCATAAAAGAAAGAAATAAAGACCAGAGAGAAATAAGAAAGAGGAAGAATGATAAAGAGAAAAAGAATAGAATAAGCAAAGACAAAAAGACCCCAAAAAATGGAAATAAAAGATAAGGAAGATAGAGGCGAGGAAGAGGACTTGAGAAAAAGGAAATGGAAATGTGTGGGAAGAGAAAGAAGAATAAGAGGAGAATGCATAATAAAGGAACGATATGGGAAGAAAGACAAGAAAAATATTTGTATGATAAAGCGGTATGAGAGAGAGAGAGAGAGAGAGAGAGAGAGAGAGAGAGAGAGAGAGAGAGAGAAAGAGAGAGAGAGAGAGAGAGAGAGAGAGAGAGAGAGAGAGAGAGAGAGAGAATAGCTTATCACGTGTGTTAGTGTGTGTGCTCACGTGTCAAGTTGTTAAATTCATTCTAACTACTAATTACTATAACCATCAGGCCACCTTTAACGACCAGTTGGTGACTTAACGAGATTAAATACGACCTGTACCGAGAGAGAGAGAGAGAGAGAGAGAGAGAGAGAGAGAGAGACCTGCATTAATATCAGGCATGACAGTGTTACGACTCATTAGGTAAACAAGACTGCTGTCACGTCCTGCTGTGGGGGAGAGATTGTGGAGGAGGTTGTGGGCTGGGGGAGGTTGTGGGGAAGAGGCCAGGGGAAGCTATGGGGGAGGTTGTGGGGGAGGCTGTGGGGGGGGTTGTGGGGGGGAGGCTGTGGGGGAGATTGGGGGGAGGAGGCTGTGGGGTAGTAATTATAAAGCCATATAATATGTCATCTATTTTGATCTCCCTGTAAGTAAAAGTACTACGTCATAACCGTAACATATATTAAGTGTCGCACCAATCAGGCGTTATGTTAGTGACGTCACCATTTGGCTGTAAACGTGTCGAAACGGAAAGAGGTGATTGGTTGATCCAGCGAAATGAAATACCTATGTGACGTATGTCAAATATTGCTCAAACCAGCTATTAGTGACGTAACAATACTGATGTAAGCATGACGAAACGAGAGAATCTGACTGCCTTGACCTAGAAAATCAAATAACTTTGTGACTTACATCATATATTGCTCCAACCAGCTCTTGGCTTGGTGACGTCACGACATCGATGTAAACATGTCAAAACGGGAGGCTCTGATTGGCTGGAACCACAAAATCGAAAGACTCAAGAGGTTCCATGGAGTTGGGAGAAAGTATGGGTAAGTTCCTTTTCTTTTTTCTACATCATTCGACATAGTCACGCGATTTCTAGAGTTTGATTTGTGTAATGGGTCAGTCGTATGTGTCATTCTCGGGTAAAACAGAATTCAGTAGGATGACTTAAGGACGCGCCACACGTAATTCCACCTTGGGGGCCCTGTCATCTTCAACAGTCTTTCTCTGAGTGATTGGTCCACCTTTGCATGACGTCACTGAATGTATTTTTCCCTATTGGTGCAACTCTACATGACGTCATTGGATAGTCTGTCATGATTGGTCCAAATCTGCACGACGTCACTGGATGGTCTCGTCTGATTGCTCCAGCACTGAATGACGTCAATGGGATGTCTTGCCTGACTGGTTAAACACGATAGTGATTGAGAGTCACGTGAACCCCTCTTAGAATTTTGCTCTAGTGTGTGTGTGCGTGTCCCCTCCCCCTCCCCCCTTCTATCTCTCTCCCTACCCCCCTCTTTTTCTCTCCGTTTACGAGTGAAGTTATCTTATTCAGTAAAGTTACCTCCAAGTTAGTTTAGCATAAATCGTGTTGAGTAGTTAACTATTCACCTTGTTAAATTATTTCTTAGACTAGTTGTAAGTTATTTACTGGTCAAGAATATGTAGAGTTATGTTCACCTTTTGGTCACTGAGGAGTAATTAGGAGACCGGCCCCAGGTAGAACCACAGGAGGTTAAACTCTCTCTCCAGGTCCCCCTCCTTCAGGTCTTTCTCACCAGGTCATTCCTTCAGGTCACCCCCTACCACCCTACACCATCATCCCCCCTGGGTCATCATCAAGTCACCCCCTCACCACCCTACAGGTCATCATCAGGTCACCCCCTCACCTTCAGGTCGCGGTGTACAATGTGACGGTTGTGGCAGTACTCGACGGCAGACAGGATCTGCCAGAACTTCCGCCTCGCCATGGACTCACTCATTCTGCCGTACCTCGCGATGTAGTCTGCCAGTACAAACAAACAAACTTTATTTAATATGACAAACAAATACATCTGAGAAATAAGACTTAAACAACGACAAACACAGTATATGTTGGGTGTACTCGAGGAAGTTTATTTGTTAACATGTACTCTGTAGAAAAACAACATTGACAGATCTGCCAAATGTACTCAATAAAACAAACATGCAATACTTAATTCGCAATCACATAAACAGATCTGTTACATGTACTCAATGATAAAATAAACAAATACACAATAACTACTTCACAAACACACAAACAAATTAAGTCTCCTGTTACTTTACTACTAAATTGTGAAACAAATAAAAAACAAATAAACAAAAAATAATAATTATCCCTGACACACAAAGATTAATCTGACTGACGTAACATTAAGAAAAAAAAATCTATGACGAAATCTGTGTAATATGCTCTGACGTGAGTAATAAAATGTGGCGTGTCGTTCCCGTAGAGTTTCAGGCAAGAGAGCCACTCTTCTTATAGTTCCTCAAGTGATGTAGACAACAAAATGGCGTCTAAACAGCTCTGAGACTGTAATGGCACTAATTAACGTTCTTTGACTTCAGTTACGGATTGACATTTATTATACGAATGTTTAGGAAATCCGGATTGTGAGTCGACTTTCCTAACACGTAAATATTGACATGATCAGCTGTTGTTGCCATAGTGAAACGATAACCTTTTTGCCATAGTTTACTGATTATTTCATTGCCATAGTGAATAATGGGTTAATGATGATGCCATGGTGATGAGGATAAACAGTTTACATATCTACCATAGGCCTATGTTACTCAGCTAGGCCTAAACTCCACACACACATATATAACCAAAGATAAAAAATTCATATCTTATCGATTTTGTTACGCGTACTAGAGGGGGGTGGCTATCAGCACATAGACCTATTGTGTTGATAGGCCTATATGTTTATCATATAGGCCTATTAATACACACTGGTTGTACAATAATTTACAGTATCATACAACTTTATACAGCGATAATACAAGATTAATACAACAAAATACAACATACAATACAGCGATGATACAACTACAGTATTAAGCAAAACCATGAACTGAAATAACAATACTAATTCACCATACAATACATCAACACTACAACAACAATAAACTAAAATACAATACTCATACATCATACAATACAGTGATAATACAACGTCACTATCACACTAACCCAATTAACTAAAATACAACGTCACTATATAATACAGCATACAGTACAATACAACGAAGCTAATACTCCATCTCTTAAATACTCAGCTAAATGATTTACTTAATTACTACAGCGTTTAAAGTCACAGAAATTATCCGAATTGTTCTTTGTGTATTTTTATGAACGAATGACGTCACTACTACTGTTTTTGTTGTTATTGTTTTTGTTTACTTATGAATGAATGACGTCACTACTACTGTTTTTGTTATTGTTTTTGTTTACTTATGAATGAATGACGTCACTACTACTGTTTTTGTTGTTAATGTTTTTGTTGTTAATGTTTTTGTTTACTTATGAATGAATGACGTCACTACTACTGTTTTTGTTGTTATTGTGTTTGTTTACTTATGAATGAATGACGTCACTACTACTGTTTTTGTTGTTATTGTGTTTGTCATTATTTATTTATGAATGAATAACGTCACTACTACTATTTTTGTTGTTGTTGTTATTACTTGATGAACGAGTTACCGCTTTATGTTATTGTTGTAATTATTGTTTTAAGAATTACGGAATTTATTACTACTTTTTTATTATTTATCAGAAAACTACTACTACTACTACTACTACTACCACACTACTACTACTACTACTACACTTAGACGTGGCCTCCAACCTCCCCCAATAGCCACACCTTCGCCGCCATTTTATTACCTTAATATTAAATATCCTACTACTACTACTACTACTACTACACTACTACTACTACTACTACTACTACTACCACTACTACTACTACCACCTTCATCATCATTATTCATATTATTCACCTGGCTTTAATGAATGAACAACGAGTGACCTTATGAATGTGTGTGTGTGTGTGTGTGTGTGTGTGTGTGTGTGTGTGTGTGTGTGTGTGTGTGTGTGTGTGTGTGTGTGTGTGTGTGTGTGTGTGTGTGTGTTTTTAAACCCCAGAAACATAAACTGTCTCTTAAACTAACGAAATCTTACACAGTTTAATCCTTACACTTCAAGACAGTCACCTACCAGTCAACAGTCAAGCAAACAGTCAGTCAACAGTCAGTCAGAACAGCTGGTGATATTGAAGAACTGTAGAGAACTGTCACAGCTCCAACAGTCAATAAAACAGTCTAACGTGATACCAACAGTCTAGAATAGTCAAAATAAAAGTTGTGACAGTCATGGAAACAGTTAAGGGTACAGTCTAGTTAGTTCACACCGGTTAAAATCAGTCAGGAGAAGTAACTGACATGTGTACAGTCTAACAGGATCCGACAGTCAGGAGCAAGCA